TCAACGCGCGTGGAATAACGCCTGGCCGACGCATGCGATCCAGTAGCCGCCTCAACAGCACGCGCATCAGCCCACGCGCATGCGAGCACCCCGCCAAAATACCTTGAAAGACAGCGATGGCAAAGCTCACTGATCCAAATGCCTGCAACCCGCGGGGGGGGGGGGGGGGGGACATAACGCTGACAAAGCATCCACAACAAGCGAAGATCAAAGCCGACCTGCCGAGCCTCGTGGAACAAGGCCTCGCGCTGCACGAGCTCGAAGCATTTCCAAACGTCCAACAAAGCCGCCACGGTGCGCTCTCCAACTGCGGCAACGGTCCCCGCTTCAAGGTTCAAGCTGAAAACCGGGTCGGAAGACGAACGGGCCCCGCCCAGTCCCTACATATCTGCGGAGGGATTGGACACAATCCACTGCTTAGTGATAGGGGCCCTAACCCGCGACCGCAGCCTCAAAGTACAGTCCGTCAACGTAATCAGCCTGTTGCCCCCTGAGGGCTTCGGTGATCTGATCATGTCGTTCCAGATGCGAGCCTGTGGCCATGCCCCAATACGCTCACAAGCTTCAAATAACCGAGCAATCGCAAACAAACCCTGGAACGAAATACTAATAAAGGCTCTCATCGCAATGCGCCCTGGGGAGGTCGCCGTCGTAGTCGGGAAAGACATGACAGCTTCCTGCAACATTAGTATCGCACTCTGTGTCAGCAGCGGCCAATCGTGAAAGTCAGGGGGGGAACCCATCGGACCAGCACAATGCTGTCGCCATATATTGCGCCAGTCCGACATCACACGATCACGCAACGCCTGCGGTGACGCTAACTGCCCCTTGTTGTGCCAACCATCCAGTGCCTGCTGCATGTCGTGCACCTTGGTTGCCCTGTGGGCGCATCGAGCACCATGATCGAAAGACTTGCGCGCAAAATCCCCCCGAGCCTCCTGCCTACCTTTCAGCGCCGCCTCATACTGCGCAGCTGCAAACTGCACAATGTCCGCTGCCTGCTTCTCGAAGCCATCATGTAGGAAGCTCTCCGGCCCTCTGAGGAAGCAATCTCTGACCCAATGCTCCAGCTTGCAGAAACCACCATGCTTGGGGACCCTATGGCAATCAGACGCAGCGTCCAGCAGAAACTTCGCAACCTTGCCGTAATGATGGGGCCGCAACTCCACGACCAAGCGCGCGGCGTGCAATTCCAAGATGGCCCTTCTGAGATCAACAAAGACACCCAGTAGATGCTTAGCCCACTTCGCAGCCGCCTTGCACGCCAACGCTGTCGCACCGACCCGAGACCTTCTCGCGGGAGGTTGCCAGGAGACACGGCTGAAAACTGGCCACTGGCTCAGCGCTGCGTGCGGCATGGGGGTCCCCATACTGAACCTCAAAATCGTACCTGTCGAACAACTCCTTCTGAGCCGTGCTCAATGCCGCATCCCAGGCCTCGGCCAACTGCTCCGCCTCCTGGAGGTTAGACACAATGCTCAGAGGCCCAGACCAATCTTGGGCCCGACGAGAACAACCAGGAAGCGGGGCAGCAGAAACCCTGCGGGGGGCGCGCACGACCCTCACCCTCATGTCCAAATCCCCCGCCGGAACAGGAAGATGGACAGGGCGATGCGGAGCAGTCGCGCACGCCTCTTGCACCTCAGGCCGATGCACGCGCGCAACCAAGTTAGCATATAACAAAAATAATCCAATACCGCATGCTGCCCCCACCTGGCGGGCCGACATGTCGCCAAGCTAGGCGTCACAGTAAGCCCCCCCCCCCCCCCCCAGTTGCGGCAACCAGGGAACCCCCAACCGTTGACGATTCATGTTGAAATCACCTGCAACAATCCAGTCGTACTGCGCTGCCGTGAGCTTAGAAAGATAAAGCGCCAGCTGCCAAAGCACATCCCTGTTGCAATCATTCATGCCCACGGAGTCCTGCAGGTAATTTGACAACAAAATAACTCCACTCTTAACGCCCCAATGCGCGCGCCCCGCAGATAATCTGCCTGGGACAAAGACGAGATCAGACAAAAAAGGTGGCAACGTCATGGGGATGGCCGTCTTCGCCAGGATCGCGATACCTCCCGTGGCCCCGCTCTCCGACGAAGGAATAGCTTCCGACGAAATGCCGTCGTACCCAAAATCCCGAACTTGCCTCTGAAGGGCACCCAACTCGGACCCCAATCGATGATGCTCCTGCAGAACCACCACAGGAACGTCGCGATCGAAGCTCTCCAGACAAGGCTCCAACGTGCCCCAAGACGCGATATGAACCGTGGTAATATATCATTTGGTCTTCACCATTATGTAGATACACCAGGTTTCTTTACAGACACAAATTATTATTATTTTTTTTTTTTTGTAAAAATGCTAATATTAACAATAAACACTGAGCAACAACACTAATACGGACCCGTCTTGACGACGCGCTTAGGATGGAAACCACCTTTTGCCAACTTCCTCGCCATCTCACGAATGGCCCCATCCTCCGCTGCATCGTTCTCCGAATCGAAGTCCACCGCCCCGAGACTTCCCAACTCCTTCCGCAAAGTAGGAGCGCCAAGATCATCTGGCTCCCTTACCTCACCCAGCTCAGCAGACTTGCCCGCATCAATCGGGGTACCTTCGCCAGAAGCTGGAGGAGCCTGCCGCCCATCACTGGTAGCAGTACGCTTCTGCGGCACGAACAACACCTCATGCAGCGCTCCCCCAATACCCTTTGATAGTCGTTCACGGGCCTCTTGCCCGATGCCAGTACCTTCCGCAGCCTTTGATACCAACTCACCCAGCTTCTCCGTAGATAACCCCAGAACCGCCAAGCACACCTCATCTTGCCTAGGGTCGTCAAGCACTGGCACAGCAGGCAACCTCTGCTGCAGCGCGCCCAACTGCTCCTCCAGCGTGCACAGCGTGACTTGAGCCTGCTTGCGATTATTCTCAGCCCCTTCGACCGCCAACTTCGCCGTCGCAAGCACAGCTTGAGCCTCTTGCACCTTGCTGAGAAGCTTATCATTATTGATACGCTGCTGCCGCACCTTATTCGCCAGGATGTGTGCCTGAGCGTGCAAGAGGTTTGGCATCGTGCAATTCAGCACGACGTTGCTGTAGCAGCTGTCCGAGAGTCTCTCGCTGTGCTGTAGCCCACTCAGAGGATAATCCTTTGATCGCATGCAGCGCAGAGTCGAGCTCCCTGACCTCCTCAGCCTGCTTTTTAGCGACGTCGTCATTCTCGCTGTCAACAGGCCCTCCGGCGCCCACCTGCATCGCCGATGCCTGTTGGTGGGGTCCAGCCCTGCTCTCCGCATTCTTGCCACGGGAGGCTGTAAACTCACTCTGCAACTGCGTGGTGAGCTTCTGATAGTATGTCGAACCAGCCGATCCCCGAGTGAGAGAACCCCCCGCCAGCTCCTTCGTACTATTTTTGCCACCCGCGAGAGCCCGCTTCTTGGACGGCGAAGCTGGCTCCACGTTGGCCTTGAAAACATCCTTCTTGTGCACGCGGCAGGCGAAGCACTTGAGATTCGCCCCCCCCAGTTTATGAGCGGCTTGCCCGACCTGGGATGCGTGCACTCCTTGCAATACCAATATCTGCGCTCCTTCCCCTTGCCAGCAGCTTTCTCCCTGGCATCCGCCATGGCCCCTGCCACTCGCCCACTCTGTCCACCCAAGGGCAGCAGAGAACGCACGAGAGGAGCAGCAGGGGCAGGATGGGGCTGTGAAGGTATGAGCGGCGGCAGGCCCCCGAACCTGCCGTGCTCGTAGTCGTTGGTACC